AAGTTTGTACAGTTATGAATTCTCGACACAAGAACTTCTTGAAGGATTAGTTATGTAACCCATCTGTCGCGATAAACAGTCGTTCTCGACAATTCGTTTCAGTTATTCTCGACGGATGAGTTATCTTTCGATATAAATTGTCATTCTCGAAGTTAAAGGCAGTATTTATTGAATATTATAGTTTGTTTTTTGATTTCTTACACATGTGTTTAGCATTAACATCTGAAAAATTCAAAATTTTAAATACACTCGTCTCATTTCATAATATGCAAACTAGAAATATTGAATTCATGTCCATTAGTATTGTAATTATTATTTTCAATTAGATGGATGATGCATCAACCCGTGCTCCGATAATCATGAGGGTATATTGCCTAGTGAGAACCAAGAGGCGAACGGTATGTATGTTAATTATGAGGAATTCAAAATTTTAAATACTCTCATCTCATTCCGTAATTTGCAAACTAGAACTAATGAACTCATGTCGGTTAGTGTTGTAAATATTGTTAACAACTAGATGGAGGATTCATAGAGCTTAAAGTGTCATGCCCGAACAACGAGAAAGTTCCCTCAACTTGTAGCGTGACGGAGGCGGCCACCTTACCTATCGAAAGTAACAATGTTGTTAACACAAAGAGCAATGATCGACACACATTCAATTTCTTGCAGCATCTACTAGGACTTCATACACCAAGGAGATGAGAAAAAGAATAAAGAGATAGTGTGACCAAATTTGTTAATACTACATTAGAATTTATTTGTGTAATCAATGACCTAATTTTGCTTTCCTCCAAGAATGTGGTTATAAACATGATTTAGTGGTTGCATCCACATGTGATGACACATTTTATCATTTCTCGTTTCTCATACTCGTTGAATTGTTCAACTAACACGAGAAAATTTGTTAAGTTATGTATTAAAATTTTGTCAAGGATAAATATAGTAATGTTTTTACTAAATATTATGCAACAGCTTACCCTTGTGCATATTATTTGTAGTTACATTTTCTGCTCGCAACCAACCGTCGAGAATGACAGAAATCTCCTGTTGGGACCGATAGTTTAACTGTTTGGATATTATGCAATATTTACAAATGATAATAAAATGCTAATAATAATGTAAGTTGAGAATGTGTTCAGAAACAGCATGTCCCTTATACACTTTTTTGTAGTCAAATTTTCTACTTCGCAACCATCTGTCGAGAATGATAGAATCCTTCTATCAGATGGTATGCAATTTTTGTCCATATAATTATTTTGCTTGTGAATTTAAGTACGACTAATATCTGCAAACAATAATAAAATGATAATATTATTTTAGAATGTACAACGCTATTGGGGGAATATTCAAAATACAATTTCAACTACTTTTAGACATCAAGCCTATTTACATTAGTTGTGTTAGAGGGTTGGAACACGTGGTCCGATTATGGTCAACTCTACCATAATGAGTGCATATGTAATACTTTTGGAACTAAAACGAAAGTGAAACGAAAGTGATTTTGTCCACTCTTCACTTTCATTCATCATCCACATAAACAAACTTTAGTCCATATGCATGATGGATCTCAAATGATTATTAATACTTGAAAAGTTGATATTGCAATGGTAAGAACTCTGCATAATCAATGTGTTGACATTTAATAGCATGAAGGTGACTCTTTGGAATATTTAAATCCATTCAATGACAAAAGGCGAAATGAATGGTTGAATCCAAACAGTTAAATTATTTATCTCGACGTTTCTAAATGTCGAATTCGACAGTTGAGATGTCTAATATAACGATTTCAAAATGTCGAATTCGATAGTTGAACTGTCGAAATTGTCGGGAAGCTTGAAAACATGTATTTGGTACCTTAGAAGAAATTATTTAAAAAATTAATGGTGATAATCAATTCTCAACTGCAGCATCATAACATCTTCCCAAAAATAAATAAGGAACAACTCAAACTTCATTAATTATGGAATCATTCACATTTTCTAAAGGAAGTTGATATATTTTCCATTCAAAAATATATTAAGAATTAAAAAAATCCTTTTTTTTTTTTTTTTTTTTTTTTCTAAAGAATGGGATTTAAACAAAGGCTTAATCTAGGTATTGACTTTGGAATCTTCCTATTGTTGAGCTAAGTCACACACTGACTATGCAATAATTACTGCACGGGCTAATTTCATGAATACATTAATTATTTGAGCTGACCTGGCTTGGTGCTATTTTAATATGGGCCTAAAAGGTTTCGTGAAAGAAAAGCTTGATTTTCGGCCTCAGAAGAGTCCTCCCCATGGATCTCAACTTTAGCTATGCATAAGTTGGGCTTTGGGGACCTTTGGCCCTTAGCCATATTTTTTAATAAAATTATTTTAAGTCCAAAGGGCAAACTGGGTAAAGAGGAGTTCGTCTCTTCTACTTTACTTAGATAGGGTGTGAATTCAATTGAAATTTTTAAAAACTTCAATAAACCTCTTTTAAGTGATGTTTTTTGTGGATTTCATAAATTTTTTTATAGATTTATATGAAATCAGTAGAAGTTATTCGTAGATTTCTATAGACTTTCCTTTTAAAATTTTTATAAGCTTCTGTAGAATTTGAAAGATTTTTGAAAACTTTCTTTTGAAATAGAATTCATGTAGATTTAGTATGATGGTGCGAAATTCTCACATACGAAATGTTGGATTCCACAACTCCCCTTCTTCTTATATAATTAAAAAAATTAAAAGAATAAAAATTTAAGATCCTAATTAAATAAATAATAATCAAAATTATTCAATACATATATATGATAAATAATAAATATATTATTCAATTTATTAATATAATATACTTTTAAAAATAAAAAAATCAATATATTTATATATAATTATAAATTTTCACTATAAAATTTTACAATTTAATAAAAAATAAATATTTTTCATTTAAATAAATCTAATTAATAGAAAAATAAATTACCTGTAATGTTCATAAAAGGAAAAATGAAAGAAAGATTGTAATTTTGTGAAAGTCTTTCAAAATCTCGTGATTAATGAATGACAAATTTTAAATTTTATATGAGTACTTTCTACTTAAAAGTTAGTATTTCAGAGAAATCATAAAAATTTGAATACCCCAAAACTTATAGAGATTTCTAAAAAATTTAATTGAATAAACCGTAACTTTTAGAACTTTTTAAAAATTTATAAAAATTTCAATTGAATACATCAATAATTTTAGAGAATCTCAAAAAATCTACATTAAATATCCCAAAATTTTTGAATGCCAAAAGGTCATTAAAATCATTATTCTAAAGGGCACGCATTGGCTGCACCTAAGCGTCGCTGAAGTGTGATGCGCGGGCTTTGAGCCTTATTTAGCGGTCAACAACAATCGTTGTCCCCTATAACCAAGCCTAGGTACATATAATTATCTTTTTTTTTTTTTAAATTCTACAATTCTTCTAAATTAAAATTTAAATGTTGATTTTTTCACTTCGTCGATTCTAAATTCAAAATAGTCACTTGAAACCTTAAACAAAAGAAATCTCCCAAAAATTCATATCTATTTAAAATTTAATATTTACATTTGGAACTTATCTTTTTGTTGAGAATTTTGAAAAAATGTATAAATTTTATATAAATTTATTTTAGATATTTGATAGATATTATTTTTAATTATTAAACGATTTTTCGATTCATCAAAAATTAAAATAATATTAAAATATGAAAATGCATTTTTACACTTTCTTTTATGTCTATACTCGCTTAAGCTCGTTTAGTATATGAAAAGGATTTTTCGATTTTTCACATAATTTGACCTTCGCAGGTCACCACGTCTTTTAGAATACTAATTAAAATACGCGCCCTTTAAACCCTAAAACCCAACTCGCCTCCTTACGTCTACCCTCTACTCTTCTTGTTAGTCACAAAAAAAGAAGCATGAGACCTCCTAGGGGACGCGGCGGCTTTGGGGGCGGTGGCTTCAGGGGCGGGAGAGATGGTGGTGGCCGTGGCGGTAGAAGTGGTGGTCGCTTCGGTGGCGGCGGCCGCTTCGCTCGTGACGAAGGTCCGCCTGATGAAGTCATTGGTACTTTCCTTCTCTCTCTCTCTCTAAGCAGATATATACAAAAGATTTTTTTTGTTTTTTTTTTTTTTTTTGTGATGGTTGTTGTAAATATTACTTGTGCAGAGGTTTCATCATTTGTTCATGCTTGTGAGGGAGATGCTGTGATGAAGCTCACAAATGAAAAAATACCATACTTCAACGCACCAATTTACCTTGAGAACAAGACACAGATCGGTAAAGTTGATGAAATATTTGGCCCCATTAATGAATCTGTGAGTCCGTCCATTTCTAGTTTTCCTGGACTTCTATTTTTACAAGTGTAAGGTTTATTTTTATCCATTTCTTATTATTTTGGTGGCTCTGTTACAGTATTTTTCGATTAAAATGATGGAAGGAATTGTGTCCACCTCGTATTCAGCAGGCGAGAAGTTCTACATTGACCCGGCTAAGCTTTTGCCGCTCTCAAGATTTCTTCCACAGCCAAAGTATGTCCATCTATCACTTTTTAGTCTAAACAGCTTTTACTTGTTAATATGGTCCATATCTCGTGAAGGTTAAGATTTTGATTTGCTCTGTGTTACACATTATGCCCATAATTAGTTGTCCATTAGACAGTATAATCTTCAACCATAAACGCTAAAATCTTCTTGTTGTAATGTTGAGTCCATACCAAACATGTCCTTAATCTTGCATCACATTGGAGAAATATCAAACATTGGAAATTCGATTGCTTTTTGAGGTGGACTTGATCATACAATGAAAAGATTGCGCATTTTGCACTTAATTAGCGATGCTATTTTTTATTTTTATTTTTTTTGGATGATGTATTTATGAAAGAGACATTGACATTTCTTGTTTGAGATCCTTAAAAGCTCTGTAGCACCGACACTCTAATTAGGATAGTGTGTCCATGTCAGACACGTGTCGAACACGTATCGGTACCGACACTTTTCCGAACACTCTATAATAATTATTTTTCTTACTATAGCTATTATATATTTTTAACTCAAAATTATTAGTAAATAACAAATAAGTAATCATATTTAAAAGATTTCAACAAGAAAAATCAATAAGTATAAAAATAAATTTACACTATATAAATGAAGAATTTTAAAGAATTTAATAAACGTGTCGACGACGTATCTTGTCGGTATTTTTTTGAAAAATCACGAGTCGACGTATCCGATATGTATCATGTCGGACACAAGTGTCTGTATCGATGCATCATAGCTTAAAAGAAAGTGACAATAGAAAAGGTTACAAATTCATTTTCAATGATGTTATTTAATTTTTAGGGTTCTGGATTAGTCATTTCACGGATATACAACAAAACTATCCTAAATTTGGTAGCGGTAGTCTACTGGAGGTTCCAGTTGCAAACAAACAGTATTATGCTTTCTACTGTTTTAGTTAGAAACAATCTTTTTTACTCCTTAACATAGTTATTATTTACTGATATTCTATTGCATGCTTCATGCCCTTTTTCTCTTCCTCAACATTCTCGAGTGTATTAGGCTCCGAGAACGATATTTCATAGTGTGCTGATTTCAGTCAGCTATATGCATCTAATTGTCCCTGTATATTTGCATACGCATTAGTATTTTTTCTGACCACCTTCTAGCCATAGCTGTTACCCCTGATCACTAGCAAGTATATTAATTCTAGGCTGCTCTGTTCTTTGCCATATATTTGTCTATTTTACTTATTTTTTGATGTTTATTTGATTTTTTGTCTGGAGCTAAAGTCATCGTCATATGTTGGCCTACTCGATTAGCATTGGAAACTGAATTTTTATTGTTGCATTTTTTATTTTTTATTTTGCAGAGGGCAAGCGCAAACTGGTGGTAGAGGGGGAGGACGTGGGGGAGGAAGAGGTGCTGGGAGAGGTGGACGTGGCGGCAGCAGCTTTCGCGGAAGGGGTGCTCCAAGGGGAAGAGGTGGTCCTCGAGGCGGTGGTCGTGGTGGAGGTTTCAGGGGCAGAGGGAGATCATAGAATGACTGTATTTGTGCTTTTCTTCTTTTAGTTGTCAATCCAGGGTGCTTCCGAATCAACCAGAGCAGAAAAATGACGGATTTTTCTCTTAATGTAATTTTGTTATTTTCAATTGGGCTGCGGTAAAATTATCTTACTCTAGTTCGGATTTTATTGCATTATTTTATACTTTTGCTAAATTACTTCATGCCCTATAGAGTGTTGATAAAAATCAGATCAACAAATCTTTTCATCTGATCAGGACATTTACCTTCAAATCTTACTAGTTTTGATACTCAAATAGGAGAGAGATGAAATGGTTATTTAAGAGAGAAATTTATATTGCATGTGTTTCACTTCAAATGATAGGATATTTATAGATTTTTCTCTAAATTTTGGGACAATTTGATATTTTGGAGGGAATGATAGATGACGGCTCCTTATTTGTTACCTAATAATAGATTTGATTAAAAGTGTCACCCTTTTTTAAATACCGTGCAAGCTTGTAGCGGGCTTGGACGGAAGAGCAGTTCGTATCGTTTGATGCGAGTCTTGTGATTTTCTCTTCACATATTGCTTAATTACGGGTTTTTTTGGTTAACAAATAGTCCTCGAAGTTTGGTTTTAATATTCATATTAAATTTAGAACTTGTTATTTATAAACCTATTGTTACTAGCACGTACTTAAAAAGGTTAAACCCTAACCTTAAAGGTCCTCCATCATCCCTGTTCTGGAGCATCGTGAGGGAGGTAAATCGCAGGTTATGCCTCCAAGGGTATAGGGTGGAAGGCTGCTTGTACACTTGCACTTATCCAAGAGCCAAATCCATATTTCAGGATTCGAACCCTTGACGCAGCAGCCTCAAGCAAAACTGGATTTCTCCACCCTCCTCTTTTACCACTTGGAGATGTGCCCTGGGGGCAAATAAGAGTACTAGCACGTACTTTTCTTTATTAATGGTGGATGGCATGTGTTGTTTTGAGGGAACATGCTATGATTATTGCAGTTTTTAGTGCACATTAAAGAGCTTTTCTGTGAATTTTCAAGTTATGGTCCGTTTGATTGTAATAATGGAATTTGGGTGGAAAAAAAAAAACGAATTTCAGGGAATTAAATTGTATAGAACTTGTTTTATTGGAAATTGTTAATTAAATGTGTTTTATTGGTATAATTTTCCATCTGAAATATGTTGAAATTTTGGATCTTTTGGTATTCATTTGGCTTTATTTTTCATTTAAATTGTTAATTAAAATGATATAATTTGTTATAATTGTGGA